ATCTATTATACGACAGTCTTAGCGTTATAATATTGCATTCGATTACATCATTCCAGTGATGTACGAGGCAGTTTCGTTGGATGGTAATGCATTGAGACGATGCCTGGTAGTCAGTTGGCGAGATTTATTGGGCCGAGATTTACAGCGTTTATTCGGCCAAACACTCAGCGCTGTCCTCATAGTACTGCCAAGCAGTTTATCCAACCTCACGCCTGCTACACGTAACGTAAGTCTGCTTATTCATGAAAGTATTTTGTTCTAAATTGATGGATTTTACGTGATAATGTGTTAGGCCCTCACGTGGTCCTTGATTGCAGCAGCGGAAGATAGGGAAGAATACCAGCACTCTATTCTTCCAGCAAAAGCTTCGCTTCAAATAAAATAACGAGTAGAAGGACGTGTAATGTGATGAACCGGGGCGCTTCTTGTTTCTGGCGATACGAAATAGTGTTGCTAGAGATGGCAGACGCCTCATTGGGGCGCAAAACGCACCGGCCGAGCCGAGCCGAGCCGTGCTGTTCAGCAGAAGAACGCTGACGGTGTTGAGGCGAGACGCTAGTAGCGTTAGTAGTAGGAGGTAGCGGTCGAGTGGTGTTGTCGATCCTGTTGATTACCCAAAAACTGAAGGGCCTAGCTTTTAGGAAGGGGTTTATATAGGGAAAATTAATGGAGGGAAAAAGAGGGCAAGGTAGGTTAGTGAGTGAAAAGGTAGGTAATATGGAATTATTTAGAATTTGCTAGAATTGTTAGAAATTAGTGAGTGGAGAGAAGTAGGTCGAAGTGTTAAGTGGGAGGAGGAAAATAGGTGCAATTATAGAGTTACAAATGACATATTTCGAGTGATCTTGATGAATTCATTGGATTACCATGCTTCGAGTTTCTTTTTTTTTGCGCTTTTATTTCACTGATGATTAGGGTAATCTGGGTAAAATTGGGTCTACCTTAAAAGTTACTAACTGCACCAGAAATGTTGGATCTCGGTGACCAGTGAATTTGAACTGCATAACTGTAGAAGCTTAAAAGTAACTAATTTCACCTGGAATGTTGTATCTCGGTGATCATTAAATTTGTACTGTTCAAGTTTTCAGTTGTGATAACGGTAAGAAATGTACACGACTTAATGGACCGAAACATTTCTTACCCTTTTGCAAATTTTTTTAAATTGCCCTTCTCCTCGCTGTCTTTTTCTTGATATTTTCTTTTTAATCCTAAATAGAAGCCTAAAAGTTAATAATTGCACCTGGAATGTTGGATCTCGGTAATCAGGGAATTTGAACTGCATCATTGTAGAAGCTTAAAAGGTACTGTTAACTATATCTGTTTTGAATTCCCAAAAATTCGTTAAAAAAAACCTAGTTTTCCAGAAATTGGCAACACTGGAAACGAGTTTGTTGCATGTAAATACAGATGCAGCAGTTTATGTGGCACTGCAACAGCCCGAATTGCAGTCACTGCTTTCCGAAGTGACCGTCTTCTCAAAAAGGTATTTTTTAGTTTTTTATCGTTTTCTTATGAGTTCTTATCCTACCTATATCCATAGATTTCGGCGGGCATTCAGGATTATCTTGAATTTATCCAGAAATTTTTTCGAAAAAAGTGATACAAATAAAAGGGACTTGGAGCAGGTGATGCACATAAACCGGACCAAGGTGATGGGTACCACCTAAATGTCACGAAAGTCTCGCGAAACGCCGGCAAAAATTTAAAAAAAAAAAGGAAAAAACACTGTTTCATCTTGGTTTTCTTGCTGAGGATTTGGATTGCGAAGTTATTTTTACTAAAAAGAATCAGTGACACAGAGGCATTTTCGTGTCGATAAAAAACCACGCTAAATACCCATAATGAGCATTTATCATTTCCATGGCCAGATATGGGAATATTAACCCGTCTCCCTTTCGATTGCCGAAATGAATCTGAATTCCTGCTCACAATAATCCGCAACGGCATTAGCCGATATCTTAGAATCGACTGAGCCACATCCAACTGCTGTTCACGTGGAATTCTTCTTCACTTCAGTCTTCAAGGAACTCACTTGATTATTTGCTACTACCACCAGAATCTGACAGAGGCATCAGGAGCAAAGTTAAAGTGTTTGAGGGGATAATTTAAAAAACTGCGATTTTTCACTAAATCCTTGAATTTGTTGGTCGAAATACACGAATTTA